CCTCAAAACACCTTTTTTTAATATTCAACTTTAAAAAAGTGCCCCACCACAGCATGATACATCATCAAATATTGTTCAATAATCGAAGTCTTTAGAATGCAAGAAAACCAGGTAATCTTGGTACACAGATTTCAATGATTTTTACATTTTGTTTAAGTTGAGCATGTGCCCAAGTGCATCAGCACTATTACTTTAATTTGTCACACCAGTATACTAGCATTTGTTCTTGTATAATATTATGAGAATAAATTGACTTGTCACTTATTCATCATGTTCATAGGAGCAACAAAATAAAATTAAATGATTATTTACAATTTAATAAATAAATATGGTTATATTCAGTAGAGGGTGCTAGTCACTGCACCCCAAAACATGAACGCCCCATGCATGAAAGCCCCAAATTTTTTTACCTTCCCCCAAGTACAAATGTGAGCGCCCCAAATCTTAATCACAAGCGCCCAAAACGTATTTCACCAGCGGCCTAAATTAGCACTTCGGGCGCCCCAAGCCTTAAATTAACTAGTAAAAAAACCAAACTGTTGTCTTTGATGCGTGTTTTATTACAATTTATTAGATTAAAAATGTATATTATTATTCACGAGTGTCCCGAATTATATTCATCAGTTGTTTATCACCAGTGCTTCAAGTATTACGATGTATAATATGTAACGAACGCCCCAAGAATTGTAAACTAGCATTATATGAAGATAAATGTAAAGGTACTAAACAAATAGAATTCATATTTATACGTGCATTCCCGAAACGTAATTTATTTTAATTTTTTAATTTTTTTTTATTTATTCAGTGCTAATAAGAATTTTACAAAGAGGAAATACACTGTACGAATAGAATAAACTTAAACACAGATGTGTATTTCTGCAGTAACTGTGTAATAATAACCAGAAAAGTTTTTAGACTAGCTGTCATATACATTGTAGATACATGTGGTCGTATATCTCCTGTAAATTGGTAAATTAATCTATTTAAGATACTAAGTACCAAGTTCTTTTTAAATCGTCTACGTAGTTTGCATTTTTTTTATATAAGAGTTACAAAATTTATTGAGAATCTGTCAGTAATAAATATATACAACAAAAATTATAAGAATACAAAAAATTATACATCATTTAACCTACCAAAAGTCATCTATCTATTTTTTTAATACTAATTTTAATTGTGTATATTATAGGTTCAAAATCGCAGTATCTCCTTAACATAGAGCATGTGCTGCGCGTTTTCGTTGCTTATTGTGTACTTTATTATGTAATGCTACATAATATTACACACCTGTCACTAGATCAGTGGGATTTGTAGTCTGTGTATACACAGTAATCCTAATTTCAGACACCCAATTCAACAAACATACACCATAATTCTGGTCCTTCGACGACTTGTACCACTTTTCCATGTGAATTATATATACAAATGTAGAACATGCACAGACGGATCATGCGTGTAAATTAAAATGAATACATCTAGAAATTAATAACAAAAATAAATATATAAACGCATTTTAAGCACTTATGTATTTCCAAAAAAAAAAAACAAAAAAAAGAAAACTGTACGTCATCAACTTCATGACGCAGATTTGGTCAAGCAACGATCACAATTTGTAAGACTTTATTTAAAACGTTTTATTTCCCCCCAATATTATCATGCTTTTATCTCCAAATTAATTCAAATTTCTTAATGTATGCGGCATTTGATTAAATAGGGGGGTTCTTCTTTTATTTGGGATTACGGTCGTGCTCTGACTTTAATACAAATTAAATATTTAGACGAGCACCTGCATGTGTATCTGTGACCAAATCATTTTGGGCGCTCGAAATTCTAATTTGGGGCGTTCGTGTAATGCGTTTGGGGCGCTCTTTATTAATATTTGGGGCGCTCATATTTGAACTTGGGCGCCGGTAAAAATTTTGGGGGCGCACATGCATGGGGCGTTCAGGCTTTGGGGCGATACGACAGTAACCCTCACTAAATATGGTTATATTCACTAAATCTATTAGTATAAATCCATTAATGAACAACACTCAATTAAAAACTTTGTTTTTCTTCTTTATCCTAGCTAATACCTACCATGTAGCAATGGTGTGAAATTCATCTATGACTATGACTTTGATATTCAAAGATTGAATAGCCTCTCTGCATGTTTTGCTTCCAACTAAGAGTTCTGGCGATGCAAATACCACGTCAATGTTGTGCGCTTTCAGATCAAAGTCAGAACTGCTACCTACAAAATTGAATTTTCAGCATTCTCATTTTTTAATCAAATTAATATATTATTAATATACATGAAACATTAATAAAAAGATTTAGTATACAAAATGTGTTTCAAGACAAATATTGTAAAACATTTTTAACCTCTGCTTCATGGCAAGGTTTTACCCTTTTGGATTTCAAAATTATACAATATACAGACGTTTCCATGTTTCAACAGTAACAGAAAAAAACTATAGTGGCTTGGAAAGGTTTATGTACGTTCTGTGGTAGTTTATGTATTTTGATTTTTTTAACATCAGAATCAGTACTACCATGTTATTGTTTTCGACATTTTCATAATGGATAAAATGATAATTTTCAATTTCAAATAACAGCTGAGTAACACTGCGTTAATGGACATTCAATGTTCTGTTCTGGATCCCAAGCACAAATATCGGATGGTTTTGAATAACTCACCTATATATTCAGCGGACACAAATTGAGTCTTCTGTATCCGCTGAACCTGATCCTCCATAAGAGCAATGAGGGGACAGCATACCAAAACCACCACTTTCTCGTCCCGTAGCTGCTGATACACAGGTGGAAATATCTGATATGGTAGCGACTTTCCGTACCCAGTAGGCAAAACTCCTACGCAATCTTCACCTCTAAGCAGACAATCTAATATCTGACGCTGTTCTTTTTTTAATTCTTTAACACTGAACTTGGTGATAACGCTATGGATAATACTTTCAATTTCTTCGCACATGGCTTCGGCTGTTTGTGTTCTCTTTTTACCTCCAATTTTGAAGAGTTATATGAGCGCTTAAAACAGATGAAAGCTCAGTTCTGATTGGTTGATATTTTTTTATCGCATGCAAATGTAGAGGTCGTGTGAAGATGACCTCCTATCGATGCCTGTCAGACCCTGACGAGTGAAAGGAGAAGGGGGCTGGTTTTAATCAGACTGCGGCATTCTGTGCAATTGAACAGTGGGAGATCTATACATCTTCCATCACCTACATGACATTGGGGCCATGATTTATACGGTTTTCTCCCCTTATTCTGCCACTCAAAAACACTCTATCCATTTATATAAACGTCTTAATCTGCAACTTTAGAGCAAATACTCTTATCTATTCCTTGAACCTGTCCACTCTTATGCATAATGCCATACATTGATCACAAGTGCTCAATGGCAAAGTATGTTGTGAAAATTAAATAAAGAAAATTAAAGGTTTTGTAAAATATCTGAAGGACTTGCTTTTTCACTTAACTACATCTGTCAGATTATGCAGCTCGTAATATAAAAAAGAAACTCATGGTTTGATACAATCTTGCGGATCTATTTAAATAAAAATTTTTACATGAAAGAAAAATAAGGTAAAATATATATACCATTGAATATACTGTTACGTTATTGAAACGGGAGAGATAACAATAAAAGATTAAGACAAAGTCAAAGTTGTATTTTGATTTTGTAAGATATTTTATTTAAAGCAATGAAAACGGACATGGAAAGTTGGAATGTAGTAGCTTACTTAAATGTCAGTTACTACAAAAGTCATTTTTTACCGTTTGAATTAACTGCCTGTTTGTGGTGACAATAGGTCTGATTTAAAGAAGGAATAATTTGAGCGAAAAAGTTAACGACAATCATTTCAGCAGATGTCTTTACCAAATATAAGGGAGAGAAATTCATTTTCATCAGGCGACATAATAGTATATTTTTGATTTTTGAAGAAAGCTGAGCGATATCACGTGTAAGATTCATACATTGCATTAAGTATGCACCCCCATATGTACTATATTAGGATTAAGAGTGTTATAGAAAAACCGAATTGTGAATGTCCTTAATTATGTAATTTGTATTAATGAAATAGCATTTGGGGATAAAAAAAATTAACAATGTGGTGCTGGGAATTTTTTTTTTTTTTTTGCATTGAGAGAAATAACCTTTCGAAATCTAGAAAAATTTAACTTTCACATCCATGTAAAAATGAAATCTTACAGTGACCATTCCAAAAATACAAATGAGGAATGTAGCTAGTAATAACAACTTATTTTAATTCCATCTAATTTCATGTTTTGCTTCATTTCATTGAGCAAATGAATGCAATTATGTAGCATCATTTTTTGCTAAAGAAGGGAATGGAGTAAGATTTCTCGAGACTCAATTTTATCGAACAGTATCTAATTACATCGGCATGAGTTACAAATAGCAATTACCATCATTCGAATCATTCTTAATTAGCAAGGTACATATAACACATATATGATTGTCTGAAACAAGTGTTTTACCAGTTTTATGCATCTATATATGCATCAAATATGTGAGATATTTTGCATTCTGTAAATATTCTTTGAAATTAAGTTCACAATTTTCGACCTAAAATTAAAACATTTTGAGGATGTAATTGAAAAATACCACCTAGATATATATTATCTATATAAAACACGGTAATCCCCAATGTCTACTTTCTATTCAATGATATTATATATTTAGTATTTAATTTTTTGATTTTATTATGTCGTTTCAACATCTAAGTGACTATAACAGTTTAATGAGGTAGGTATTGATCTCGTTATGACAAAGTCCGACATTTGGCATTTTAAAACTGTGATATGTAAACCAGATAATGTCTTCTTATTATAAATTAAAGCCGAAAAAAATTATTTTCATTGCAGGTTAATGACGTTGACTATGCATGTTACATTGTACTCCTCAGAAAAAGTGATATTCATGCTTCTTATTGGTCTTTCAATGTTTGATATTGCTGCAGGAAAAAGTAATAGGAAAGTATGTCAAAAATTTCTTTTGTTTAAATATTTAATGAAGCATTGTTCGAGAACTAACTGTACATCTACATATGCTATTTATAATACATTTCAAAACTTAAAGAGCGTTCGCTTCGTGATCGGGAGGCCCGGGTTCGATTCTCGATCGCGGCGCCGCGTCATACCTAAGACGTAAACAAAGGTAGTGACTGTTCCTTCGCCAAGCGCTCGGCACTAGAAGTGAAAGTCACGGGTCTTTCGGATATGACCTTAAAAACGTAGGTCCCGTGTCACGGTAGGCGTTGGCACGATAAAGAACCCTCACTGCTCAATGGCCCTGAGTGCCGAGTATAGGTCTAAATTTGAAGCCCTTCACCGGCATCGGTGACGTCTCCATATGAGTGAAAAATTCTCAAGAGGGACGTTAAACAATATACAATCAATCAATCAATCAATCAAAACTTAAACAAGAGGCCCAGGGGCCATATCGCTCACCTGAGCACTTTTGCTAGGAACAATTAAAGAAAAAAATAGTTTTTTATTCACTACCCGAGAATGCTTCCGTATAAATATGACCAATTATGGCTTTGCTATTTTTGATAAGAAGATTTTAAAGATTTTTCCTAAATTGTGGCCCCTCCATACCCCCAGGGGTCATGATTTGAAAAAAAAAATTGAATCTACACTACCTGAGAATGCAACCATATAAATTTAAGCAATCATGTCTTTATAGTTCTTGAGAAGAAGATTTAAAGAATGTTCCCATATATTTCTATGTAAAACTTTCATCGAAAATTGTGGCCCCGCCCTACCCCCGGGGGTCATGATTTGAATAAACTTGAATCTACACTACCTGAGGATATTTCCGCATAAGTTTTATTATCTGGATCTTGACAAGATGATTTTCAAAACAAGCCACCAAATATTTACTATTTCTTAATTATCTCCCCTTGAATAAGAGTGTGGCCATTCATTTGAACAAACTTGAATCCCTTTTACCTAAGGATGCTTTGTGGCAAGTTTGGTTGAAATTGGCCCAGTGGTTCCAGAGAAGAAGTCAGAAGGTTTAAAAAGTTTACAGACAGAGAGACAGACGGACAGCTAGACAGACAGACATATAGACGGACGCCGGACAAATTGTGATCAGAAAAGCTCACTTGAGCCTTCGGCTCAGGGGAGCTAATGAGTTGTAAATAATTCATTACATACATTCAATCGTTTACATTATATTTAAATAGATTTAGTACAGATACGATAATACTAAAATAAGGTTTTGAATACGTGCATTATGAATACAGTTCATAAACTGAGAATGACTCAATTTCAGCTTCATGTACAATTTCTTAGAAATAAATATTCTTTCCTTTTTCGTAGAATATATATGGAATATGCCCGGAATCTACGCCTACTATCAAGGAAGTTTCAACATGTCCAAAAAACAAAGAAGAATGGA